GTTTGGTGTTGTTGTTGTTGTTGTGCTGGCGATAAGGTTCAAAGAGCTACAAATGTACTTCCACGACAACAATGCACGCATCCATCAAGCCGTCTCATCGCGCCCCTCCCCGACCAGTGGACATAACTTACTCTTCACTTTGCCAAAGGCGCCCTTGCCAAGGGTGTCACCAAGCACATACTGCCCAATGCGCTTCACCGTTGTCATCGTGCGTCGTGTGTGTGCGCTGCGTGGTTGTCGTGTGTGATGTCGTCGTTCGGTCGCGGAAGGAAGGGGATGCAGAAATTTCCATGAAGATTTTCATGAATTACAACGGTGTGCTGACTGTGTTGTATCGTGTTGTGTTGCGTGTTTGTTTGTCTGTTCGTTTGTCTGTCTGTCTGTGTGTCTGTGTGTCTGTGTGTCTGTGTCTGTCTGTTCAACACACCACCCCTTGCTTGCCTGCCTGCTTACTTGCCTCTGCTTCCCAAGAAAGGCTGTCCTTGTGTCTCTTTGTTGAGGAGGCAAGGATGAAACCTCATTCATGAAAACAACTGTTGATGGTGTGAATGGAAGCGTGTGGTGTTGGAGGGAGTGGAAGGGGTGGAAAAAGAGTGTCATGGCGCTTTGTGAAGTGTGTGGTTGTTGTGCGTGGGTTGTCATGACGCAGTGTGCGAGTTATGTCATGTCACGCGTTGTAGTGCTTGGCCCAGGCTTCCTTCTCTTCCGGCGTGGGGAAGCGCGTGAGCACCTCCATCTCCACAGTCCTCGAGGCATTGACAGGACCCTTGAACTGCTCAAAATGACAACACAAATGCACGACACAGAGCAGATGCAAACAAGGGTCAGTTGTTTGTGCGTGCGTGCGTGCGTGCGTGTGTGTGTGTGCGTGTGTGTGCGTGTGTGCGTGTGTGTGTGTGTACGCGTGTGTGTGTGTGTGTGTGTGTGTGTGTACGCGCGTGTGTGGGCGTGTGTGCATGTGTGTGTGGGCGCGTGTGTGTGGTTCAACGACGACAGGAACGTGGCCACACCTCGCACACCCACATTACAGCACACGATACCCTCCTACGATACCCTCCCACGACCCGTACACCAACAAGCGCACACACTCTACACCCTTTGGCTCGCAACAACAAGTGCCCCCACCTTGTCCTTTGTCATGCGAGCAATGCGGATGGTGGCGCCGGTCTCGGGGGTCCACTGCGCATCAACCGCAGCGATGGCGTAGAAGTTGAAGTCATCGTCGCAGAACGCAAAGCTCGTCACCGTGCCAACAGGCTCGCCTACGCGGGCATAAACATGGGTGGTGTTGAATGCCGTGTGAGGTGAGCAAAATGAATGCAAGCAGAGAGCACATGCAATGCGATTGCACAACACATTCGTCATCGCATGCACACAGTTGTCTTCCTCACACACGCGTACAATCACACGCGTACAAACACACACACACACACACACAAACCACGCACAAACACACACACACACAAACCACGCACAAACACACACACACAAATCAAGCACAAACCCACACACATACACACAAATCAAGCACAAACCCACACACACACACACAAATCAAGCACAAACCAAGCACAAACCACACATATACCACCCCCCCCCACCCTCCCCGGGCGTAAACTGACCCTGTTCGTTGAGGACAACGTGCCCCTCACGCGCCGTCTTGCGACCGCTGCCCTTGAGGCGAACAAGCTTCTTCCTGCGCGGGTGCGTGCGCTCAATGTAGGGCTTGCGGCCAATGTAGAACGGACGGTGCAGCCGCGAGACATACCCGTAGTCTGCCTCGGTCAGTGACAGCTGCTCGGGCCCCTCGAGTTCGTGACCAAAGAGCGGGAAGCCGGCTTCGATGCGGGCGCTGTCACGCGCGCCGAGCCCAGCAGCAACCACGCCGTCACGCTTGCCCTCGTTCAAAATCATGTCCCACACATTTTGCGTCTCGTCCGGGTGCACAAACAGCTCATAGCCAACGCTCTGCAAGCAACAGAACAAGCAAGGGTGGTGTTGTGGTGACGTTAAGGGAGTGGTGAGGTGATGACATGAGGTGACGTGGTGTGATGACGTGGTGTGGTGAGGTGGGGCAAGGTGATAGACTGTCTCATCATGTGCACGTCCAGACGTGCAGGCACACATGTCAGTGAATGCAAACGGACGCATCTCTCAAGTGCACCCAATGCTTCCTCACCTCTCCGGTGTAACCGGTGCGGGCAGCAATCACAGGCACGCCCTTCATCTGTATGTGTGCGTGTGTGTGTTGGCTGAGGAGGTAAGTGCACGTCCACGCAACCACTGCGCACACACACATACACACACGTATGCAAGCATTCACAGTACACTCACACACAGAGTCACATGCATGCATGCATAGTTGCAGACACCACATGCGCCTCAGCCGCGACATGAGATGTCACAGTGCAGTGTAGTCACAGGAATCAGCAACAGCAGACATCCAAACGTGGGGCAACGGCGGACCAACCGTGATGTGGTGGATGGTGTTGAGCACGCCTGTCGCCAAGTCCTCCCGCTGTTCGGGCGTGTCAACAAGCCGCTGCAGCACCTCCATGGACTTGGGGCCCTGGGATGTGCATGTGTGTCGCGTGCGTGTGTGTGCATGTGTGTGTATGCATGTGTGTGTGTGTTTGCATGCAAAAGACAGAAAAGTGAGCGCGCAGACAAACACAATCTGATATCAATGAGAACACACATGCACAACACACTCATGCACACATGTACACAAGCACACCCATTTGCGCGCATACACACAAACGCACATACAAGCACATATACACAAGCACGAACAGCACCTGGAACGCAATGTCGAGGAGAGAGTCACTTCCGGCGTCGCGCAGCTCTTTAATCTCCACAGGCCCGGGCACCCGCTTGGTCGGGTTCTCCAGATCCACACACACGCGGCCCTGGGTGTGTGTGTGTGTGTTTGTAAGGGGGTTGCAGCGTTGGAAGTGGACAATAAGGGATGTGGTGATAGCAACCAAACACACGCACGCACACACACACGCACACACGCACACACGCGCACACACGCACACACGCGCACACACGCACACACATGCACGCACAAAACCCGCAAAAACAAACATATACACTTCACACCTCGTTGACGGCGTTGAGCCAGGCGAAATCGCGCTCAAAGTTGGCGGCGTTGAAGACGAGCATGAAGTTGTCGCGGGCGAGGCGGTACACGTACAGGTCGTCGAGCGCAGTGCCGTCCTCTCGGATCATGTAGCTGGCAGACATGACCCACACAGGTGGTGGGGTGCGATGTTGTGCAGGATGGGTACTTGTGAGATGACGCGCGCACTGGTGCGAGATGAGCGTCCCTCCTGTGCACATACATGAGCAAACACACCCACGTTCACACACCCATACACGAAGCACACTTGCTTACGTTCGCACACACACGCACACACACGCACACACACACACACAAGCACACGCTCGCCTGCCTCGTTGCTTGCTCACCTGTACTGCCCCTCGTTGTCGATGAGCCGAGCAGCAGTGTTTGCGAGCGTCGTCTCAAGGAACGCCAGCGCCTGCGGACCCTTCACTCCAACAGCACTCATGTGCGAGACATCAAACAGGGCAGCAGAGGTGCGCACGGCACGGTGCTGCGCGTGTGTTTGTCGCGTGTGTGTGTTGGGTGTTGTTTGTTGGGGAGACGAGGTAGGTAGCGGGTGGTGTTGTGGTTGATATGAAGATGTGATTTTGGTGATCAAGGTCGAAGAGAATGAAGCAGGACGGTGGTGGAACAACGTGTGAGCAATGCGCGCAACGTGAACAAACAGCAACAACAGATGCAGGGGTGTACTGGTCGCACGCAATGATAAGGGCAGGAGATACGCGTGCCGTCATAACGACACGGAGATCGAAGTTTGAAGCTCAAGCGTGCAATGCGTGTGCATGCTTCCTAACCTCGTCGGCAATGGATCCGTATTTGACGGGCATGCGCCAGCCGCCAAAGCCAACCATCTCCCCGCCGTTTCGCTCGTGCCAGTCTGTGGAGGAGCAGAGGGGATGTTGGCGGAGGAATGAGGTAAAGTGATGAGGTGATATGAGGTGAGGTGAGGTGAGGTGAATAGACAGCCACACGCAGATCCACACAAGCACACGCATATCAAGGCACACACGCATGCACACAACTTCAAGTGGCTATGCACACATACGAGCACACGCACACGCACACACATACGACTCAAGCACACACACGACTCAAGCACACACACACACGAGCCCTCTGCGCACCGTGCAGGACAGTCTGCTTGAGATCGCCGTCCCCCGGCGTGTATGTGAACGTCGGCAGCGCCTCTGCTTTGTTGCGCTGCACATGCGCATGCTGCCCAACGAAAAACGCCTTGTTAACATCCATGTTGTTCGCGTCGAGCGACCCAGGCAGCGTCAAGCCGGTCACGGCCTGCAGTGGGATCGTAGTCAACACGCACACGCACGTGTGTGTGTGTGTGTGTGTGTGTGTGTGTGTGTGTGTGTGTGTGTGTGTGTGTGTGTGTGTGTGTGTGTGTGTGTGTGTGTGTGTGTGTGTGTGTGTGTGTGTGTAAACACGAATGTCCAAAGGCAAATGTGATGTGTAAATGCAATGACACAAGAATTCATCCTCTCTTTGAAACAACCAGCTTTAAGTTGCAGCAACAAGAGGCCGTGTACATGTGTGTGTGTTGTTGTTGTTGCTGCTGCACTCACCGAGACGACTGCCATTGGGATGTCCTTCTCCTGCAGACCGGTGACAGCGAAAGGGCCGTCAACCTTCAGGTACGGATCGTCACGCACAAGCTCAACGTACCCATCTGCAAGGTGGTGGTGGTATGTGTATGTGTGAGTGTATATGTGAGTGTACATGTGAGTGTGTATATGGGTGTGGGGGGAGGTGATGGCAATAGCACGACACGTGCACGCACGCAAACCTACACGCAGGCAAACAAGCACATGCACACACACACACACAAAAAAAAAAAAAAAAAACACGGACAAGCACACACACATATACACACATAGACATACACACATACACGCACCAGAAAGGGCGTCGAGCCACATGCGCACGTCATCGGCCTTCTCCTGCGGGGCAAAGACTGCCATTCGCTCCTCCCCGTTGTCGCCACACGCCGCGTTGTGGCTCCACCCGAGGTTAGACACAATAGCGGGCGAGATGAGCTCTCCGTCTGCGTCAAGCAGGAACCCGCACGCAACGTCGTTCTCCCCAAGCGAGGAAACGTTGCACGTCAGCGCCTGTGTGCATGTGTGTATGTGTGTATGCATGTGTGTGTGCGTTGTTTGTGTGTGAAGGAGAAGGTGACACATTCCAGAACACGTAATCCCAGAGCAAACCGCCATGGCGACGTGCACACACCAACAACACAAACAAAAATCAAACAGGGCATGGCACCGACAACATGTGTGTGTGTGCGTGTGTGTGTGTGTGTGTGTGTGACCTGGTCGAGCGCGAGGCGCGCCTTCTCGCCGCGGACGGAGATGGCGGTGAGGCCCTTGACGGTGAACGCATCGCGCAGGGGATCAAACAGCGAATCGGCAAACTTGGACTCGTCCAGCTTCGGGTACGGCAGCGAGCGAGCAAGCGCAAGGACCTGCACGCACACATACATGCACAGACACGCATGCATGGAGATGATTGCAGTTGAGGCGACGTCGGCGGGGTTGTGTGTGTGTGTGTGTGTAAGTGCCTGCGCTATGTACGCATGGGTGTGTGTTGTGGAGTTACAAGTGTCTGTGTACATGCGGGAGTGTCCACACCTCCTGACGCGACTTTTGCAGTTGCGCGTAAGGGACGCGAGCACGGCACTTCTCGTCACCCGACGGTGCCCAGACTTGGAAGCCAACGGCCGAGGACAGCAGCTCACTGCACCAAAACAAAACAGCAAACGCACATGTAATGGCAGATGGTGAGGAGGGAACACGTACATGGCAACAACGCAAGTGCTGGCACATACGCACATACACACATGCAAACACACCCCTACGCACGCACGCGCGCACACAAACAAACACACACGCCGGACCGCATGATGCGGGCGAGGTCCTTGATCTGGTCTGCAGTGACGCCGCGCTGGGTGATCCACGGCGCCGCAACGCGAAGACCGCTCGAGTCCGCAGCCGTCGCATCGCCAGGCAGCGTGTTCTGGTGGGCGGGCGTGTGTGTACATGTGTGTATGTGTGTGTGTGTGTGTGGGTGGTTAGCCTAAAAGAGTGCTGTTGAAATGCCAATTTTGAGTACAGTCGAGTGCACGCATGACGCAAAATCCTCGTGTCTCCTTTCATCCCCCCCCCCTCTCTTCATCTTCCCCCCCCCTCCCCTCCACTCGGTACCTTGTTGACAACAATGCCGACATTCTCGAGGAGCCGTGACGCCGTCTCGCCATCGAGCGCGTTGCCCGAGCGGTTGCGGAACTTCTTCATGTCAAGCATCACCATGTGTGTCTCTGTTCCCTGGTACTCGAGCTCAAACCCTTCCGCCCGCAGCGCCTGGGGGTGGGTGGAAAAGTAGTGGTGTTGAAGGTGATATGATGTTGGTTGTTGGTTGTTGTCGTTGTTGGTGTTGTTGTGATGGTGGTGTTGAAGGTGATGTGATTGTGGTTGTCATTGTTGTCGTTGTTGTTGTTGGTGGTGTTATGATGGTGGTAGTGATGGTGTTGCCGTTGGTGTTGTTGGTGTTGACGTGGTGGTAGGATTCGATTTGTGAATGGTCAGGATTGGCAGTTGCATACAATGCGGAAGCAACGTGGAAAACCAACAGGACGGCGCATGACAACACCGCAAACACACAGCAACCAAGAGAACAATTGAATTAGCCCCTCATCTCATCCACCTCCCTCCACCTCCCTCCCTCCTTCATCATCATCACCTCGGCAAAGATGGAGGTGTTGTCGAGGACACGGCGCTGGAGTTGGCAGTAGGCGTCGCGGTTGTTGCAGATCATCTCAAACATGCGCGCAATGCCCGCAATGTTGTTCACGTGCGGGCCGCCCTGACAGCGAAGCAGAGTTGTGTGGTCGCATGGGTAAACACACGCATTCGCACATTGATGTATCCACACTGCATACACACACACACACGAAACATGAACGACACATGCATGGCACGCACACACACACACACACACACATATATATATATATACACATACACACACGCACTTCTTACCCTCCCCTCCCCTCCCCCCCCCCCCATGTCACTTCACGCAAGGGGGTACCTGCATGCCTGGGAAGACCGAGTTGTCAATCTTCTTGGCAATGTCCTTGTCCTTGGTGACAATGACAGATCCGCGCGGGCCCATGAGCGTCTTGTGCGTCGTGAACATGACCGTGTCCGCGTATGGCAGCGGATTCTTCAGCTGTCCGCCGACGATGAGGCCGGCAAGATGGCACACGTCTGCGTGCAGAAGGGCACCAACTTCGTCAGCGATGGTGCGCAGCGTGCGCCAGTCCCAATCCCACGGGTACGCGCTGGCGCCACCAACGA